TTTGTGTGCATGTGGTGTATGTGTCACCAGTGTGTGTCTGTGTGCGTGCGTGTGTTTGTGTCACCAGTGTGTGTCTGTGTGCGTGCGTGTGTACATGTCACCAGTGTGTGTCTGTGTCACCAGTGTGTGTCTGTGTTCATGCTTGTTTAGGTGTGTCGGTATTGTATTGTCTGCATTTCAACTGTTTTCTGTGATTTAATATTCCCTCATATCCTCCGGGTACTGTTTGCTAAATTACATCTTACTCTGCATGTACAGAAAGTGAGACTTTGACATATTTCTCTCTTCTCTCTCTCCTTCTCTCGCTCGCTCCCTTTCTATCTCTTCCCCTCTGTGTGAATCTCTCAACATCTTCAATCACACTCACACACACACACACTCTCTCTCCCACACATACAAACACACACTCACTCACACACACACACACACACACACACACACACACACACACACACACACTCTCTCTCTCTCAAACATCCACACTCTCTCTCTTACACACACTCACACACACTCTCTCACACATGCACACACTCCCTCTCTCACACACATACAAACACACTCACTCACACACACACACACACACACTCTCTCTCTCTCTCTCTCTCTCTCTCACACACTCTCTCTCACACACACACACTGTCTCACACATCCACACACTCCCTCTCTCTCTCCCACACATACACACACTCTCTCTCACACACTCACACACTCTCTCACACACACACTCTCTCTCCCACACATACAAATAGACACACACTCACACACTCTCTCACACATCCACACTCTCTGGCTCCCACACATACAAACACACACTCACACACACACACACACACACACACACACACACACACACACACACACACACACACACTCTCTCTCTCTCTCTCTCTCACATACTCTCTCTCACACACACACACACTGTCTCACACATCCACACACTCCCTCTCTCTCTCCCACACATACACACACTCTCTCTCACACACTCACACACTCTCTCACACACACACTCTCTCTCCCACACATACAAATAGACACACACTCACACACTCTCTCACACATCCACACACTCTCTCTCACACAAACTCTCCCACACATCCACACACTCCCTCTCTCTCTCCCACACATACACACACTCTCTCTCACACACTCACACACTCTCTCACACACACACTCTCTCTCCCACACATACAAATAGACACACACTCACACACTCTCTCACACATCCACACTCTCTCGCTCCCACACATACAAACACACACTCACACACACACACACACACACACACACACACACTCTCTCTCTCTCTCACACACTCTCTCACACACACACACTCTCCCACACATCCACACACTCCCTCTCTCTCTCCCACACATACACACACACTCTCTCTCACACACACATCCGTACACACTCTCTCACACACATACATATACACTCACACATACACTGTCTCTCACACACACACATACATATACACTCACACACACTCTCTCAAACATCCACAGTCTCTCTCTCACACCTATACAAACATACACACTCTCACACACATCCACACACTCTCGCTCCCACACATACAAACACACTTACACACTCTCTCTCACACACACACACACACACACTGTCTCACACATCCACACACTCCCTCTCTCTCTCCCACACATACACACACACTCTCTCACACACACTAACACACCCTCTCACACACCCACTCTCTCTCCCACACATACAAATAGACACACACTCACACACTCTCTCACACATCCACACACTCTCTCTCACACACTCTCCCACACATCCACACACTCTCTCTCTCTCTCCCACACATACACACACACTCTCTCTCTCACACACATCCACACACACTCTCTCACACACATACATATACACTCACACATACACTGTCTCTCACACACAAACATACATATACACTCACACACACACTCTCTCTCCCACACATACAAATAGACACACACTCACACACTCTCTCACACATCCACACACTCTCTCACACACACTCTCCCACACATCCACACACTCCCTCTCTCTCTCACACACATACACACACACACTCTCTCACACCAAATTCCACACACTCTCTCTCTCGCACATACATATACACCACACACACTGTCTCTCACACACACATACTCTCTCTCACACATACATATACACTCACACACACATTGTCTCTCACACACACACACTGTCTCTCACACATACATGTACACTCACACACACATACTCTCTCTCACACACACGCTGTCTCTCACACACACATACTCTCTCTCACACATACATATACACTCACACACACACTGTCTCTCACACACACACACTGTCTCTCGCACATACACTGTCTCTCTCACACACACACTGTCTCTCACACGCACATACTGTCTCTCTCACACATACATATACACTCACACACACTGTCTCTCACACACACACTGTCTCTCACACATACACTGTCTCTCTCACACACACACTGTCTCTCACACGC